CGGTACTTCGCGTATGTGTGTTGATTGTAGAGCCATCAATAATATTACAATTCGATATCGTCATCCTATTCCTAGATTAGATGACATGCTTGATGAACTCAGTGGCTCAGTTGTGTTTTCTAAAGTGGACTTGCGTAGTGGCTACCATCAAATTCGTATGAAACTAGGTGATGAATGGAAAACTGCTTTCAAAACTAAATTTGGTTTATATGAGTGGTTAGTTATGCCTTTCGGATTGACTAATGCACCTAGTACTTTCATGAGACTAATGAATGAAGTTTTGCGAGCTTTTATTGGACGACTTGTGGTAGTATATTTCGATGATATTTTGATTTATAGCAAGTCACTAGAGGAACACTTAGACCATTTGCGTGCTGTTTTTTCTGCTCTGCGTGATGCACGTTTATTTGGTAATATCGAGAAGTGCACTTTTTGCACGGATCGAGTCGCTTTTCTTGGCTATGTTGTGACATCGCAGGGAATTGAAGTTGATAAAGCCAAGGTTGAAGCGATCCAGAGTTGGCCGACCCCTAACTCGGTCACACAGGTACGAAGTTTTCTCGGACTTGCTGGGTTCTTCCGGCGGTTCATGAAAGATTTTAGTACCATCGCAGCGCCGCTCAACGAGCTCACAAAGAAAAATGTGCCATTTGTTTGGAGCGACGCACAAGAGGAAGCCTTCACTATTCTTAAAGATAAGCTTACACACGCCCCTTTGCTGCAATTACCTGATTTTAATAAGATGTTTGAATTAGAATGTGATGCTAGCGGCATTGGTTTAGGTGGTGTTTTATTGCAAGAAGGAAAACCAGTAGCATACTTTAGTGAAAAGCTAAGTGGGCCTAGTCTGAATTATTCAACATATGATAAAGAACTTTATGCACTAGTTCGGACTTTGGAGACATGGCAACATTATTTATGGCCTAAGGAGTTTGTCATACATTCTGATCATGAATCCCTCAAGCATATTAGAAGTCAAAGCAAACTGAATCGTAGACACGCAAAATGGGTTGAATTTATTGAATCCTTTCCTTATGTTATTAAACACAAGAAAGGGAAGGAGAATGTTATTGCCGATGCCTTGTCTAGACGCTATACTATATTATCACAACTTGACTTCAAAATTTTTGGACTTGAAACTATAAAAGAGCAATACGCTAATGATGTTGACTTTAAAGATATATTGCTCAATTGCAGAGAGGGTAGAACTTGGAACAAGTTCGTCATTAATGACGGATTTGTTTTTCGCGCTAACAAGCTATGCATCCCAGATAGCTCTATTCGTCTTTTGTTGTTACAGGAGTCGCATGGAGGAGGACTTATGGGACATTTTGGCGTCAAGAAGACAGAAGACATCCTTGCTAGTCATTTCTTTTGGCCAAAAATGAGAAGGGATGTGGAGAGATATGTTGCACGCTGCACGACATGCCAAAAAGCTAAGTCACGCTTGAACCCACATGGTTTATATATGCCTCTTCCTGTTCCTAGCACTCCTTGGGAAGATATATCTATGGACTTTGTATTAGGACTGCCTAGAACACGACGGGGGAGGGATAGTATATTTGTTGTTGTCGATAGATTCTCTAAGATGGCACATTTTATACCTTGTCATAAAAGTGACGATGCTACTTACATTGCTGATTTGTTCTTCAGAGAAGTAGTTCGTTTACATGGTGTGCCAAATACAATTGTTTCTGATCGTGACACAAAATTTCTTAGCCACTTTTGGAGGGTGTTGTGGACAAAATTGGGGACTAAGCTTTTATTTAGTACTACATGTCATCCTCAAACAGATGGTCAAACTGAAGTGGTTAATCGAACATTGTCTACTATGTTTAGGGCTGTTTTGAAAAAGAACTTAAAAATGTGGGAAGATTGCCTGCCTCATGTAGAGTTTGCTTATAATCGTTCCGTTCATTCCACCACAAAATTATGCCCTTTCGAGATTGTTTATGGATTTATACCTCGTGCGCCAATTGATTTATTACCTATTCCATCTTCGGAGAAGGTAAACCTTGATGCTAAAGAACGTGTTGAGTTAGTATTGAAAATGCATGAGATGACTAAGAAAAATATTGAACGCATGAATGCCAAGTATAAACTTGCTGGTAGTCAGGGTAGGAAAAGTATTGTGTTTGAACCAGGTGATTTAGTATGGTTACATTTGCGAAAAGACCGCTTCCTTGATTTACGAAAGTCAAAATTAATGCCTCGTGCGGATGCACCTTTTAAAGTGCTTGAAAAAATTAACGAGAATGCATATAAGCTTGATTTGCCTGCAGAATTTCGGGTTAGTCCCACATTTAATGTTGCAGATTTAAAGCCTTATTTCGGTGATGACGATGAGATGCCGTCGAGGATGACTTTGATTCAAGAAGGGGGGGATGATGAGGACATCTCTTCTATTGTTACACCCGCCGCGACTCCTACATCAGTTATTCCACCTGGTCCTATTACTAGAGCGCGAGCGAGACAAATAAATGGCCAGGTACTATCGCTCCTTTGTACATATGATTTAGCTAACGAGAATATGATATTACACTGATGTTCTGATTTAATTGTACTCAGAAACCAAGGGATCAAACAATCAATTGAAGATGAGCCTTTAAACCAAATGGAACAACACTCTTTGCGTGCATGCTCTCAACCGTCCTTGCATGCATGCACACACCGCACCATCCATCCCATCCATCGTGCATGCCATGGTACAAGAAGCAGACGCCACAAGACCCAAGCCAATTGATTTTTGTTGCATGGACCAAGAGACACCACGTTTTGGGCCATGGTGGGCCAACACGATTTGACTACTTCCTACGTGCAGCACTCGGTCGCCGTACGGACCGGTGTCCGATCAGCCCCAGGCGGCATCTGCTTTAATAAATAGCTAGGTTAAGTTAGGGTTTAGACTCGGGTTTTATTGTATTGTCTAGCCATCGCTACAATTCGCATCTACGAGACGTGTAGGACTACCGCCTTGTCAGATCCACAGTGGAACCCCAACTTTTCATCTAGTTCGTGTGCTCAGTTTATTATCCGCAATTTCAGTTGCAATTCACCTTTGTTCTTGCCGGTTCTTCGGTTGCTTGCAGGAACTTGAACCTCGTTGTTCAGGTTGATCGTGCCTACGGCAAGGTCAATAACCATCGGAGATTGGTTTAGCGATTGTCGAGGCGTATCGTCGGGTACGGTATAGCCGGATCGTCAAGGTCAAAATCCACCAAATCGATAATTATCCCCACTCTCATCGAAAGATCGGGCCGCCGTCACATCACCAAATGAATTGGCCCGCAGTGCGAAGCCGCCAAAGACGAAGATCTGTCCGGGGAGGAAGGTCTCACCCTGGACTGCATCGCTATTGATGATCGTAGGAGCCATCGGGCCTGACGGCGACGGCACAGAGGAACTCTCAATGAAAGCACCAATGTTGGTGTCAAAACCGGCGTATCTCGGATAGGGGGTCCCGAACTGTGCGTCTAGGCCGGATGGTAACAGGAGGCAAGGGCACGGAGTTTTACCCAGGTTAGGGCCCTCTCGATGGAGGTAAAACCCTACGTCCTGCTTGATTAATATTGATGATATGGGTAGTACAAGAGTAGATCTACCGCGAGATCAGAGAGGCTAAACCCTAGAAGCTAGCCTATGGTATGATTGTTGATGTGTATGTTGTCCTACGGACTAAAACGCTCTGGTTTATATAGACACCGGATAGGGTTAGGGTTACATAGAGTCGGTTACAATGGTAGGAGATCTTCATATCCGTATCGCCAAGCTTGCCTTCCACGCCAAGGAAAGTCCCTTCCGGACACGGGATGGACTCTTCAATTTTGCATCTTCATAGTCCAGGAGTCCGGCTGAAGGTATAGTTCGGCTATCCGAACACCCCCTAATCCAGGACTCCCTCACTCGCTCCAAGCTTCGTGCCATCTCCCTGGCTAATGCCCCTGCCCGCGTGTAGCCGTCATAGTGCCGCCTGACGATCACCCTGCCGCCAATAGCCAAGACCAAGGGACGAGCCCCACACCCGACGAGATGAAACGGGCGAGCCCCAATACATGAAAGAAAATCTTATACGACCTGCTCATACGCTTCATCTCAGTAGACCCCATCGACCAGATGACACGTGGTTTTGCAAATCTTAAAGCAACCACCCAGGAGTTGACCCAAATGTGATGGTTATTTGTAATTACCTCGTGGCTGCTGGTTGCACCTACCAGGAATTTTCAGTGCTATTGATGGATAATGACGATTCCAAGTAACCCAAGCACCCAACGTGTCTGCTAGTTCTGCAATCGCAAGAGAGGTCAACAGCTTATTATTTATGCATTAAGTAAACATTACAGCACTGCAAAACAATAAACCAAACATGATGTGCCACACAAACATATCAGATAAAAAAAAAGCAAGAGCAGAGAAGTTGCCGGTGAGAACCGAAACCATCCAAGGAGGCAGTCCAAAAAGACTGACATTTGATTTAAATTCGGCCTCCACATTTCCTGACTCTGGCCAACACCGCCTCCCCCAACCTCCCCAGCGGTGTCAGCCAGCGTTAGCTACCCATTTGGTGAGCTTTGGCTGAGCTACACTTAACCACCTGGGCGCCATTTCTTGCGCGCGGGCGCGCACAGCGCGAGAGCCCTCCACCCACCACAACCACCTTCTTGACCCCCTCCTAAACCCAAGCTACCGCGGCCGGTTTCCCGCTCAGATTCCTCCGGCGGCAACTTAACCGAATCCAACAAACAGCAAGAAGCCCCACGAAGACGCCAATCTCGATCCCCCCCTCGCTCGCCAACCTCATCTGATTGCGTGCTCCTCCCGGGTTGACTCCTCAAATGGAGAGCTATAAGAATGGTTACTGGTACGATCCATAGAGTCCAACCAGCTCCATCGACCTCTCTCTCCTCTTCTCTCTCTCTCGCCGCGGCAGCCACAGCGAGGTGGCCCGGCAGAGTGTGCGTAGATTCTTAGATTTATACGCGGGGAGCGCTGAGCCGAGCAAGATGTCGCGGTTCGTCGACAAGCTGCCGTTCTTCGACCGGAGGGCGTCGCCGATGGAGGAAGCCGACGATATCCCGCGCAGCGGCCTCCTCCACCTGCACGGCGGCCACCACCACTACCAGCACCACCACCAACCGCAGACCGCCTTGATGGCGCCGGAGCCGTCCCCGCCCACGACCAAGCAGTCCTCCTCCACTCTGGCGCAGCTCCTCAAGCGCGTCAACGACGCGCGCAGCGACGCCTCGTCGCCCAACTCGTCCCCGTCCCACTACACCATCGAGCTCGGAGCCTCCATGCCGGGCTCCACCGGCAGTGAGAGCGAGCACACCAGCCTCACCGGTGTCGGTGTCGGTGTCGGCGACGGCACGCTGCTGCCGTTCGTGCTCAAGTTCACCGACCTCACGTACAGCGTCAAGCAGAGGAAGAAGGGCCCCTGCCTGCCCGCGCTGCCGTTCCGCCGCGGGGACGCGGAGCCCGAGGCGCCGCGGATGAAGACGCTGCTGGATAATGTCTCCGGGGAGGCCCGGGAGGGCGAGATCATGGCGGTGCTCGGTGCCAGCGGGTCCGGCAAGAGCACGCTCATCGACGCGCTCGCCAACCGCATCAGGAAGGAGAGCCTCCACGGCTCCGTCACGCTCAACGGCGAGTCCATGGACAACAACCTGCTCAAGGTCATCTCGGCGTACGTGATGCAGGACGACCTCCTGTACCCGATGCTCACCGTGGAGGAGACGCTCATGTTCTCCGCCGAGTTCCGCCTGCCGCGCTCCCTCCCCACCAAGGAGAAGAAGAAGCGGGTGCAGGCGCTCATCGACCAGCTCGGCCTGCGCAACGCGGCCAACACCATCATCGGCGACGAGGGACACCGCGGCGTGTCGGGCGGCGAGCGCCGGCGTGTGTCCATAGGAGTGGACATCATCCACGATCCCATCGTGCTGTTCCTCGACGAGCCCACCTCCGGGCTCGACTCCACCAGCGCCTTCATGGTGGTGAAGGTGCTGCAGCGCATAGCCCAGAGCGGCAGCGTCGTGGTCATGTCCATCCACCAGCCGAGCTATCGCATCCTCGGCCTCCTCGACCGCCTCCTGTTCCTGTCCCGCGGCCAGACTGTGTACTACGGCCCTCCTGGTTCGCTGTCGTCCTTCTTCTCGGACTTCGGCAAGCCCATCCATGACAACGAGAACCCGACGGAGTTCGCGCTGGACCTCGTCAGGGAGCTCGAGACCATGCCGAACGGGGCCTGCGACCTCGTCGAGCACAACAAGTCGTGGCAGAAGCGCATGGGCCCGAAGATGAAGCACGCCGACGACGGGAACGGCGGGAAGCCATCGCTCTCTCTTCAGGAGGCCATCAGCGCCAGCATCTCTCGCGGGAAGCTCGTGTCCGGCGCGACCGACGGCAATGTCACGGTGCCCTCGCCGTCGTCCGCCCCGGCGTCCACGGTGGCCAAGTTCGCGAACCCGTTCTGGATCGAGATGGGGGTGCTGACCCGTCGCGCGTTCCTCAACACGAAGCGCACGCCGGAGATCTTCGTCATCCGCCTGGGCGCGGTGCTCATCACGGGGTTCATCCTGGCGACCATCTTCTGGCGCCTTGACGACTCGCCCAAGGGCGTGGAGGAGCGGCTGGGCTTCTTCGCCATCGCCATGTCCACCATGTTCTACACCTGCTCCGACGCGCTGCCCGTGTTCCTCAACGAGCGCTACATCTTCCTCCGCGAGACGGCGTACAACGCGTACCGGCGGTCCTCGTACGTGCTCTCCCACACCATCGTCGGCTTCCCCTCGCTCATCGTCCTCTCCCTGGCCTTCGCGGTGACCACGTTCTTCGCGGTGGGGCTGGCGGGCGGCGCCGAGGGGTTCTTCTTCTTCGTGGCGATCGTGCTGGCGTCGTTCTGGGCCGGGAGCGGGTTCGCGACGTTCCTGTCGGGCGTGGTGACCAACGTGCAGCTGGGGTTCCCCGTGGTGGTGTCGACGCTGGCCTACTTCCTGCTCTTCAGCGGCTTCTTCATCAACCGGGACAGGATCCCCAAGTACTGGCTGTGGTTCCACTACGCGTCGCTGGTCAAGTACCCGTACGAGGCGGTGATGATCAACGAGTTCAGCGACCCCGGCCGGTGCTTCGTGCGCGGGGTGCAGATGTTCGACAACACGCCGCTGTCCGTCCTGCCGCCGGCGATCAAGGTGCGGGTGCTGCGGGCCATGAGCTCCTCCCTCGGCATCAACATCGGCACGGCGACGTGCATCACCACCGGGCCGGACTTCCTCAAGCAGCAGGCCGTCACCGACCTCACCAAGTGGGACTGCCTCTGGATCACCGTCGCCTGGGGCTTCCTCTTCCGCATCCTCTTCTACATCTCGCTGCTGCTCGGGAGCAGGAACAAGAGGAGGTAGACCGCGTGATCGAGCGGATCATCTTCTTGGATCCCTCGGCTTTACTGGCGCGAGCAATGTGGGATGGGGCTGTCTCTCAGTCTTCTGTAATTTTTCTTTGTTCATTTTTTTTCGATTTTTACTTAACCGCGTGTGATTAAGATGGGGGAGCGAGATGTTTGCTGCCTGTAAATTTGTTTCTAAGCTGTAACGATATCATGGCAAGTTGAAATTTGAAACTGTAGTCCGACAATATGATTTTCCCGCCATCTTGCCTCTATATTTTTGAAACTTAAGTGCAGAGGTATCGACTTTGTTTGGGTATATGATATGATTGTGCCGTAGTGTGCTCTATGACGAAGAACGATGGGAAAGGTATTGATGTGACGCATACAAGCACACATATGTTTGGTGAGCAGAAATTCGACTTAGCAACCAAATCCTACCAACATGATGCATGGAAACACGGAACAAACACGCTTGGCAGCCCTTGGTAGTTGTAGCTACTCCGTTGCTCCTGTTGCCATATGTATGACATTCTCGGCGGATGAGATCATGAAGTTGGCACCCACAGAAACCCTAGCGCCGCCGCCTAGAGCATTGTTTCACCCCCTCTCCATTGTTGGAGGATGTTACTAGCAAATCCCGCGGGAAGGATGGTTGCAGCAGGGTTGTTCCGCTATGTTCGCGTATGGATATGCCTATTTTCTTGCTGATCGTTGGTTGTTTTCTCGCTGGCAGGGGCTGCTTGGAGTAAATGAGGCGGTGCAACTCTCTTGAACCTGAACAGATACTGCAGCAAGTGTCGGATGCCATACCCAAGCCCCTATTTCCGGGGATGATTTCTCTCCTAGATTCACCCACTTGGATGAGAGTGACTCGACGGTTAATGGGGTATAGGCACGTGTATTTTTTTGGGCTCCTGGGGTGTAGATTTCTGTGGTGATTGTAGGCTTTCGGTGAAAATTTTCTGAACATGCTTGCTGGTTCTGTGCATGTGTCTAGCAAATTCTGTTACGTGTGGGCCACCCTACCTCGTTGACCAGGCTGCGTATATTTTCTTCGATGGCTCGGTGCCGCTTAGGGCATGTACAATGGTGCTATTTTAAGAGTGCTATGTAGGATAAATGGTGAGGTGGAGGAGAGAGAACTCATAAAAAAAGGCTTGTCTTTTCTTATTTAAGATAAGACAAGAGATGATCTCTTAGCACAATTTGTCTCATCATATTTTAAGGAATAACTAGTTATTGAAGATAAGGCTAAGATATAATTCATTGTAAATATTTTTTTTTGTCATCTCTAAATTACATGCAAAATTTAAAATAAGACTGTTCTATCAATCATTGTACATGCCCTTGTCGCTCCTGATCGGTGCCGCTTTGGCCGCGTCTAATCTAGAGTACTAGATCTTTTACAGGTCAAACCGACTCTTTGTCGGGCGGTGGATTCGTGCACGCAGCTAGGTAGGGTGTGGCACGTGCATGCATGCAGCGGTGTGCGTTGGTATATGCATGATGTGATCACGTACTTTTCTCTCTATTTCTCCAAAAGAATCTAGCCAAATCATGTGCCGCCGATTCGCCGCTTTATGCGCCCATAAAAGCCTCCCGACGTGATCCCTTAAATCCCACACTCCCGACCTCCCAATCCCATCACCACCACCATCTTCTCTCCCGGTGGCCAGCCCCCGTCTTTCCTCCCCTACTTCCTCTTATCGTGTGCAGCCTCGCGAGTCTCAGCGAGTAAGACTGCCGGATACGCGGCCGGCCTTTGTGAACGTGGCCTCTGACGTTGTCTTCGCCATGATTGGCAACCCAGGCGACGTCCACGCTGTCGTCGGCTGCGTTTTGGCGGCGGACCGCCCACAAGGTGCCCGGAGTGAGGTGCGTGCAGATCATGGTGGCGGCCATGAACACCGATGGCGGACAGGCACGTAATATCCGTACGATTGCTGCTAGCGGACCACGCTGACGCCAACGATCTCCGGAAGCAAGCAGCCGGCATCGCTCTCCATCTCCCCTCCACGTGGAGCCATCAACGACAGCCTGTGAGGGGTGCGCGCGAAGGCCACAACGCGGCAGGCCTCCGTGCAGCGACGTAGCGGTGGCTCCTATACTCGCTACGGCCATCATCGTGGCCACCGCCGCAAATCCATACGCCGTGCTATACACACCCATGACCACCCCCGTCGGGTGTCGGCCGCGAGTTCTTCCGCTTTTGGCTAGGGCGGTGGAGACTATGGTACGGTGGAGGCATGGTCAACGGCAGTAGGGGTAGAGGCTGCGGTGCCGGTGGAAGAGGAGGTGGCAACGAGAGTGACGGGGTGGACTTGCTCTTCGTTTCCTGTTTCCATGGCGTGCCGTACTATGCGTGGTGCTCAGTACCCTGGCCGGCCGCTGCCATTTTGTTCTTCAGTTTGTGGAAACTCACCGTCTCCTGGCGCTGGCCATCATATACGGGTGCTCTGCCGCTTCTTCTGGTACGAGCGATCTGGCTTTTCTTGATTTCAGTTCTGGTTGGTACGATTTTGATCTTTTTTGCAGTTTTTTATTTATGTTTTGTAGAAGTGCATGCTATAGCCAATGCAACCAAAAAACCGATCTGATGGAAGAGACTATGCAGCACATTATACGTCAACACTCCCCCTCACATGTGGCTCCCTCAGGCCTAAACATGGAGCGAAAGTGGGCTGTAATATAATTGCACCAGCCGGGTCTTGAACTCAAGACCTCTTGGCTCCGATACCATGTAGAAGTGCATGCTCTAGCCAATGCAACCAAAAGACCGATCTGATGGAAGAGACTAGGCAGCACAAGTCAACACTCCCCCTCACGTGTGGCTCCCTCAGACCTAAACATGGACCGAAAGTAGGCTGCAATTTAATTGCGCCAGCCGGGTCTTAAACTCAAGACCTCTTGGTTCTGATACCATGTAGAAGTGCATGCTCTAGCCAATGCAACCAAAATACCGATCTGATGGAAGAGACTATGCAGCACATTATACGTCAACATGTTTGTTGTTCTTGCTATTTGCAGGTTGTCGGTATTCTGGGAACGGGGTCCCCAGACTTCCTGCCTGCGGCCCGCAGCGCGGTGATACGTCCATTTTGCATCATGCTTTTATATCGATATTTATTGCATTATGGGCTGTTATTACATATTATGTCATAATACTTATACCTATTCTCTCTTATTTTACAAGGTTTACATAAAAAGGGAGAATGCCGGCAGTTGGGATTTTGGGCTGGAAAAGGAGCAAATATTAGAGACCTATTCTGCACAGCTCCAAAAGTCCTGTAACTTCACGGAAGTCATTTTCAGAGTATATAAAAAATACTGAGCGCAAGAAGTTCACCAGGGGGCCACACCCTGCCCACGAGGGTGGGGGGCACGCCCTACCCCCTGGGCGCGCCCCCTGCCTCGTGGGCCCCCTGGTGGCCCTCCGATTACCATCTTCTGCTATATGGAGTCTTTCGATGAGGAAAAAATCATAAGCTAGCTTTCGGGACGAGACTCCGCCGCCACGAGGCGGAACCTTGGCGGAACCAATCTAGGGCTCCGGCGGAGCTGTTCTGCCAGGGAAACTTCCCTCTGGAAGGGGGAAATCATCGCCATCGTCATCACCAATGACCCTCTCATCAAGAGGGGGTTAATCTCCATCAACATCTTCACCAGCACCATCTCCTCTCAAACCCTAGTTCATCTCTTGTATCCAATTCTTGTCTCCAAGTCTGGGATTGGTACCTGTGGGTTGCTAGTAGTGTTAATTACTCCTTGTAGTTGATACTAGTTGGTTTATTTGGTGGAAGATCATATGTTCAGATCCTATATGCATATTAATACCACTCTGATTATGAACATGAATATGCTTTGTGAGTAGTTACGTTTGTTTCTGAGGACATGGGAGAAGTCTTGCTATTAGTAGTCATGTGAATTTGGTATTCGTTCGATATTTTGATGATATGTATGTTGTCTCTCCTCTAGTGGTGTTATGTGAATGTCGACTACATGACACTTCACCATTATTTGGGCCTAGAGGAAGGCATTGGGAAGTAATAAGTAGATGATGGGTTGCTAGAGTGACAAAAGCTTAAACCCTAGTTTATGCGTTGCTTCGTAAGAGGCTGATTTGGATCCATATGTTTCATGCTATGGTTAGGTTTACCTTAATACTTTTGTTGTATTTGCGGATGCTTGCAATAGAGGTTAATCATAAGTGGGATGCTTGTCCAAGTAAGGGCAGTACCCAAGCACCGGTCCACCCACATATCAGATTATCAAATTACCGAACGTGAATCATATGATCGTGATGAAAACTAGCTTGACGATATTTCCATGTGTCCTCGGGAGCGCTTTTCTCTATATAAGAACTTGTCCAGGCTTGTCCTTTGCTACAAAAAGGATTGGGCCACCTTGCTGCACTTTATTTACTTTTGTTACTTGTTGCTCGTTACCAATTATCTTATCACAAAAATATTTGTTACCTATAATTTCAGTGCTTGCAGAGAATACCTTGCTGAAAACCGCTTATCATTTCCTTCCGCTCCTCGTTGGGTTGGACACTCTTACTTATCGAAAGGACTACGATAGATCCCCTATACTTGTGGGTCATCAAGACTCTTTTCTAGTGCCGTTGTCGGGGAGTGAAGTGCCTTTGGTAGGTGGAATTTGGTAAGGAAAAATTTATATAGTGTGCTGAAATTTACTGTCACTTGTTACTATGGAAAGTAATCCTCTGATGGGCTTGTACGGGGTATCTTCACCCCGACCAGTAGAGCAAAGAGTTGCTCCTCAACCTATTGAACCTACTGAAAATGAAAAATGTCTACTTTGAGATTCCTTCAGGTATGATAGAAAAACTGCTATCTAATCCTTTTACAGGAGACGGGACAATGCATCCTGATGAGCACCTAATATATGTGCATGAAGTTTGTGGATTATTTAAGCTTACAGGTGTGCCCGAGGATGTTATTAAGAAGAATGTCTTCCCTTTATTTTTGAAGGGAGATGCATTGACATGGT